AGCGCGGGAGGAGGGCGAGCGCGGGAGGAGGGCGAGCGCGTTCTGGGGCTAAGGGAGGGAGAGTGACCAACCGAGGGGAGAGCGGAGCTTCCCATCCACCAGCTTTGGCTTTGCCAGGCCTGCAGTTTTATAGCCCGAGAACGTGGCGGTTCGCTCACCTGCAGCCTGGGGAAGACTGTCTTGGGGATCCAGGTTGTGGTCTTTATTTAGAGTCTACCATGTGACTTGTGGCAATGCTTTTCAAACTTCTAAACAAACCCTCAACCCTCGGTGACATTTTACATCCCAAGTAGCCAAAGTATATTTTACATTGCAGCAAAACTTCACAAAACCGTATTTAGCTCTGTTACAGGTGGTATGCTCTGGATACCACTTTTTCAATTCCGTTTTTAAAAAATGATGATCATGAAACACTAAATTGCTTTTATGATCTACTAATAGGTTGCAATCGGAGTTGGAAAGCTGCCTCCAGCTGTCCAGACCCCGTCTTTTTCTCTTTCTAAATACAATGCACAGCAGCAAAAAAGGACCTCCTCACCTGCCGCCAGAGGCTTCCTGGCTCTCAGTCTCCAAGACTTGTCTCCCTTTGACCTAAGACAGAGTTGACCTAAGACAGAGACCCCAACTTGCACGAGCCATGAACACCTGTTTGTGCATTTGTTTGACATTGAATCTTGATATCTGATTACCTGAGGTGGGAGGGGAATAGTGATAGGAAAGGGACTTACTTTCCTATGTACATTATTGCTGTTTAAATTTTGGTCACACACATATATATTTCTTGAGCATTTTAATTTAAAACATTTCAAACCTACAAAAAGGGGTCAGGAATTAATGAGAAACATAGTTTAGTTATACTGCTTTCCACTCCACATCCCAAACATCTTTAGCCAGCCTCAGCCCCTCTCCCCATGGATAAAATCTCTGCCACCAATGGATCCAGGGATCGAGTCAAAACTTTTGGGCTAAGACAGGTGTGGTGGCACATGCCTGTAATCCCAGTGACTCAGGAGGCTAAGGCAAGAGTATCATTCGAGGCCAGCCTGGGTGACTTAAGGAGACTTTGTCTCAAAATAAAATTTTAGAAAGGGCTGGGGATGTAGCTCAGTGGTAGAATGCCCTGGGTTCAATCCGCAGGCCTGCAAAAACAAAATCAATAACAAAATCTTTTGAGTTGAAAGTTATTGGCGGTCCTGCAGACAGTCCCTTCCGACACTGTTTAGCATCGTCCAGATCGCTGGCGGGACTGGACATCCCAATAAGCAGCTGTGGTTGGGATCATCTGGGATCATCAGCACCTCCTTATTCCCTGTCTGCACAGCATGTAAAGTTGGGGGAGATAATATGCTAAATCCTAAAAGCAATTAGATGGGAGTTGCACTGTATCCTCAAGAAGATGCTAAGAACAATGTAAAGCAGCAGAAATGGGAGTGCTAATTTGTTGGGAGTCGTGTTTAATCCTGTAGGCCTTGGGGCACTATTTAAAGCCTCAGAAGCTTGGGGCTTGGAGTTCCCTGAAGGAGCTGATGAAGCAGGAACCTCCTTCAGGACACAGGACCTGAAAAACATCCAAGCTGGTGGCTGCCACTGTGAATCCCTCTCTCCTCAAGGGAGAAACCTGACATCTGGGTTCCCATATTTGATCTGGCTTGTTCTAAATCAACTCTGAAAGCCTACTGCATAAGCGAGATTTGTGTCCTTTGGCTCACTGACAGTGAGAAATACAACCATCAGGAGGAACAGAAAGCCCAGGCCTGCTGCCAGGCACATTCTCTGCTCCATAGAAAACTCTACCGGGGAAGGCAATTATTGCAAAAGAGAACATTGCTTGGAGTTGTGGATGTAGTTTCTTGCCTGCCCTTGCACCCATCCTCCTTCTTTCTTTCCTAACAGCACCATGATTTTGTTCCACTCTCCACCCCCCCACACACACAATTCCTGCCCAACTCCTTGCCTGCAGTGCCTGAGTGGGATGTGGAACTTGATGTACCAGAGAGGGAGTCCATGGCTCTTGCTAATGTGTACATGACATTTTCTGGTTCACAGATTACTTGAGGAAGGGGCTTGATTCAATTTAGGCTGATAGAATATGAGGATAAGTTTAGAGCCTTTGGGGGAAAGTATTATTTTTAAAATAGAGAACCACCAGAACTACTCCTCCAATTTAGTAAGCAGATGTGGAGTCTGAAATTTCTAGAGCCATTTGGCCATCAGAAGAAGCAGCTGGGAATGGTGGCTTATGCCTCTAATTCTAGCAACCCAGAGGCTGAGGCAGGAGGATCAAACGTTTTGAGGCTAACCTGAGCAATTTAGAGACACCCTCCGTAATTTAGCAAGACCCTGTATCAAAAAAAAAAAAAAAAAAGAAAGAAAGAAAGAAAAAAAGAACTGGGGATATAACTCAGTGATAAAATTCCCCCAGAAGATGTTACAACTAAGGAATCAAAAAGAAAAGAAAACAGAACCCGGTTGCTGGATCATGCTGATCCTGAAGGCTGAATCCCTCTGATCACAGAGATTCTGCTGCTTTGGGGGCAGCTGGGGAGGAAAGCAGAATCCCTAGATGGGGCTTATCCCAGGAGGGGTTTGTGCCTCTCCCTGCCATTCCCCACAGGGTTCCACTGATGTCCTATTCCAATCAGGATGCCGTTCCTGGTTAGTTCCTCAAGTCTTCCCATGTCACTCTGACATTCTGGCTAATTGTTTTGAAGAACATTTCTCCCTTTGAATTTGTCTGATGGTTTCTCATTATTAATTGAGGTTATACCTTTTTGACAAGAATGTCACAGAAGAGAGGAAGTGTTCTTCTCAAGATACTGCCTCAGGGGATAGGTGATGTTACTGGTCATCACCTATCAGTAACTGATAGGTTAGCTTTGGACACTTGGTTAACCAAGTGGTATCTTTCTGAAGTTTCTCCACTGTAAACTTACTCTTTTCCCATCATAACTAATAAATACATCAGATGCTTTATGACTCTGTGTCTTATTTTTTGCCCACTAATTTTAGCATCTGTCCTAAAATCTGTCCATGATTCTTGCCTGCAACAGGTATTGCTGTGACCTTTGCCAAGTGGGGATTTTCTACTTATATTACTCTTTCTGTGTTTATTTATTCTATTAAAAAACCTGTCTCTTTGCCTCATTCATTTATTTATTCCATTACTTTATATCTGTCTGGACTGTTGGATATTTCTTTTAGTCTATGTGTTATAATCCCTTGCTATTGTTTAGTTTGGCTCAAATGATATCAGATTTGGCTCTTGGGCGTTCCACTAGAGTTGGTTCCTGTGCCCATCCTTTGAGCACAAGATGCCCTGGGATCATCTGGAATTTTTCCCTGCCCTAGCCAGGGAAATCAACTATTTGCCTCAGAGCCTTGGCTCGTTTTATTGAGAATGATATTGAGAAAGTAAACTCTGAGCACTACACAGATTTAACCTGGTTAAATGAAAATGTTGAACAGAATTGGCCCGTGGAGGGTAGCTGGGGAAGGAGAGGGGCATACTGTGCAGGGTCAAGTGGAGAAGCAGATTCTGATTTTGGGGGGGAGTTGGCTGCTTAGTCCTTGGCTGGGAGCACCTGTGGGAGGCCTGGCCTCCAAGCCATGAAACAAGGATCCAGTACAGCAGTGTCCCTTGCTTCATTGGATTTCGCCAGAGCTTGCCTCTGGATTGTGCACCTGGAGCTGGAACTGGGAGGTAGAGGACTCATTTTTTTTTTTTTAACCATGAGCACCTATTATTTTAAAAATTGTGCTATAATAATAAAAGAGGAAAGGTCTACTTTTCTATTTTTTCTTCAACAGTGTCTACATTTTATTGTTTCCTTGTCTCACATTGAAGAACAATGAGAGGATGTGGATGGATTATCCATACTGTCAGATCTGACTGCTACAATCATGGGTATGTAGGGTCCACCTGCCACACACACACACACAGGGGTCTTTGTGCAGGGATCTAGCTGCACAGTTCTCAGTCATGAAATCCTCAGTGCTCAGAAGGTGAGAGGCTGCAGAGATCTAGGAGAAGGTTTTCCAACTCTACCCACAGTTAAAAAAAAAATGTGTGTATATGTTTGTGTGTGTGTGTGTATGTGTGTGTGTGTGTGTGTGTGTTTGTGTGTACCCGATCTACCCAATCTCCACCCTGATCTACAATACAGACACATTCAAGGGCTGGGGGTGTAACTCAATGGTGGAACACTTGCCTAGCCTGTGTGAAGCCCTGAGTTCAATCCTCAATGTTGCAAATAGTAATCATAATAATAATAAAAAAACCCTAAACACACATGTTCAACTTTAATAAAATTTCACAGCAAGCATTCACACCTGCTTTATGTGACACCTTCTATTTTTTGTTCTATACACTTTCTTTCCTGCTAGTTTCATTTCACAACTGACTAATGAAAGGATCAGGACCTTCAGTTTGAGGAATTTCCTTGCTGGGCATGTGGCAGTTACCTGTAATCCAAGCTACTCAGAAGGCAGGAGGACCAGAAGTTTGAGACCAGCCTAGGCAATTTAACAATACCCTATCTGTCTCAAAACTAAAAGATCTTACAAAGGGCTGGGGATGTGGCTCAGTGGTAGAGTACCCCTGGGTCCAATCCCCAGTACTAAAACATAATAACCACGCACTCCTCTGGGTCAACCTCAGTCTAAATGGGGAGGCTGACACCCTAACACACAAATGAATGCCCAAATGCTGCAACTTTTCAGGATTACATTTACTAATGACCTTTAGAACAATACATTTTTATTGCTGTTGGGGAGAAATGGGTCTAATTAATGAGGCTTTCTTTCTTTCTTCTTTTCTTTTTCAGGGTTAGGGATTGAGCCGAGGGTTTCTGAATACTGACAGGGTTCTACCATTGAGCTACATCCACAGTCCAGGCTGAGTTTTTTAAAAAAATGTCAAGAGCTGGATGAAATTAGGGTATGGGCCTTAAACTGGAGACTTTCTGCTCTTACTCAGAAGCCCCAAATTCCCTATGCTGGAGGCCTTCAGTTCTTTCAAATAAAATAAATGTTTTGTCTTTCATCTGTCCATTCATACGCTTACTCAGCAAACACCCTTAGGCAGGAAGGCAAAAGCAGGCCTGCACCATGGTGCATGCCTGTAATCCCAGTGACTGAAGAGGCTGAAACAAGAGGATCACAAATTCAAAGGCCAGCCTGGGCAATTTAGCAAGCCCCTGTCTCAAACTAAGAAGTAAAAAGGGATGGAATGTAGCTCAGTGGTAGAGTGCTCCAGGCTCAATCCCAGTACCACCACTGAAAGAAGGAGGAGGAGGAGGATAAAGAAGGCAGAAGCCGGCAAGTTAAAGATGAGGATGGGAGTGCCTTGCCCTTGAGGTCAGACTCATGGGGAGATAGAAAGACAAGTAGTCACTGGGCGCAGTGGTGCACACCTGTAAGCCCAGCAACTCAGGAGGTTGAGGCAGGAGGATTGCATGTTCAAAGCTAGCCTTAGCAACTTAGTGAAGCCCTACACAACAAGACCCTGTCTCAAAATAAAATATAAAAAGGGCTTGGGGATGTGGTTCAGTGGTTAAGTGCCCCTGAGTTCAATCCCTGGTACCATAAAAAAATAAAAAAAAATACAAGTAGTCACCATCAGATGAGGACCTTGCAGTAACAGAGGTGTGCAAAGAGTGGGTCTGGTGGGTCTGCAAGGAACTGAGGAAAGCAGAATTTGATTACTATGGTTTTGATATGGTTTGAGTGTCCCCCAAGGTTTCATGCATTGAAATTTTCTTCCCATTGTGAGGTATTAAGAGGGTAGAAACTTAATTGTTCGTGTTTATGTGTGGGGCTCTTGGAATATGATTAAGATTAGATAAGGTCATCAGAGTTCAGCTCCCATGATTGAATCTTGGTGACTTTGTTAAAAAACGGATACACACACACACGCACTCAGCATGCTTCCTGTTTCTTGCCATGTGATACTCTGTGCCACCAGCTAGAATGCCAGCACCAGATAAAATCCCTAGACTTTCAACCAGAACCATAACAAAAATAAAACTCTTTTCTTTATAAAGTTCTCTGACTCAATTACTTCACTATAGTAACAAAACAGATTAGCACAGTGATTTTAGGAAAATCTTCTTCCTGAGCCTCAGTTTCTTCCCCCATAAAATGGGGACTATGAGTTCCACCTCCTGAGTAGTAGTGAGCTCTGGGAAGCCCCCAGCCAGTTCTCTGCAACTGCTGGAGAAGAAGGCAAGTTCAAGGCAGCCTGTTGTGGTCAGGACTCTTAGAAGAGCTTAGAACGGAGGTCTTCAGGATGAATGCAAGGTAAGTGTTCTTCAGTGGACCAGAGGTCTGAGAGGACCCAAAGATCTCTTAAAGATTTGGGGCCTGGAGAGCCAGGTGGATGGCAAGGAGGGCTGGGGACGGAGGCCCCAGTGGGGAGGTCTGGTGTGCCTGCCAGAGAGAGGAGTTCAAATTCGTCCTCTAGGAACTAGGGGTATAGCTCAGTGATATAGTGCTTACCTAGCATGCATGAGGCCCTGGGTTCTACCCCAGAACTGGAAAAAAACCAAAAATTCAGCCCTCTGAGTAATGGGGAGTGCTGAAATGCTTTGAGTAGGGGGATAACATGGCCATATTTGGACCCATTACACTGACTCAAACAAAATTCCTGCAGCCACAAGGAAACTGGTAGTCAAATCTGGCACCATGCATTGCTCGGAAGACACTCTGTTGGGTGATTCAGGCACACAACAGGGAGACCAGGATTTCCAGTGAGCATCCCACAGCGTAAGCAGAGCAGCAGATAGAGACAGGAAGGCAGTGGCATCCTACCTGTGCTGAGACCTTCCAGTGCCTTTCTCATGTGAAGACATCAGAGAGAATTCTGTAACTCCATTCTTCCTTGAGGGACTGTGCACTGGGGAATCCCTTGTGGTTGAATCCAGGAATCCACAGTTCCTGAACCCTTCACATGGGCATGGCATTTCAAGTACATGAGGGGAGGTTGCTATGATAAAATATAGGGCTGTAAACCACACAGACCTGGGTTCATATCCTGCTTCTTCCTAGAACTTAAGTGACTTTGAGCAAGTTAAATTTTCCCTTGGATCCCAGTTTCCTGATTGGCAAAGGGAGGGAAAGGGGGTCTATGTGAATAAGTTCATGCGTTTAAAGTATTTTGTAAGCCCTTGGTAAGGACTCACTCTAATGTTATCCCACATTCTCCTTTTACAAAATGAGGAGGCAGAAGTCAGAGACTTTAAGTGACTTGCTCAAGGCTAAATGGTTGGCAGGTAGCAGAAGTTGGAACCAAGCAGTGGTCTGCTTGCTTAATACCCAAGCTCCTTCCATAATCTCTTTGGCAGAGAGGCCAGGAGCTGAGAGTTGGCACTGTCTCAGTCCGGGATTCTGCAGCCAAGAGAGCCTGGCCACCCGCACCCCGCCTAGGACACGTGAGTCTGTTAACCTAGGCCCAGAGGCCAGAGTGTGCAGTGATGAGTCACCCCAACCCAACGCAACAGGAGACCCCCTCCTCCCTGCCTGCGCCTGGGCTGAGACCTGGTTGCCGAGCAATGAGACATAACATATATAAATAAAATGCAGTTTCTTGTTGGAATAGTAAGGCCTACTGCTTTTCCTCGATCCTCTTCTCTGGCCTCCCTGCAGCTTCCCCGGATGCATTTGGTTTGATGCTCTGGTTAAGAGCTTCAAGACCTGCCTTCACTGGGACACGAGAGTGGACTTCCAGGGTGAATATTGGGTTCTTCCTGGTGTTGAGTCGAACGAGGCTGCACAGGGTGGTGCAGGAAGGGAGCTGGGGCAGTCAGGTGGACTTTCACCACCCGGTGGCTGGGCAAGGGTGGTGGAGATTCAGAGCAGGACTCATGATCCTGAATCAAGAGGGCAGGAGGCGGCGCAGGTTCCTGTGAGGAAGTAAGTGTGTACCCGTTTCTCAGGGGTGGGAAGGGTTTCTGCTACCTAGGGGACCTGAAGGCAAAAATAGTCTCTCCCCAAACTTGTTATGCTTTGCATCATCTGGTTACTCTTTTTAGGTGCAGGATGCCTGGGAGCTTGGCTCCTTGGATGGCCTTCCTACCTGCACACTTGCCTCAGGCAAGTCAAAGACTTGTGTATAGCTATTAATTTAGAACGCTTCTCAGTGCAGGCACTGAACTTTGGCTGTATATATATATCAGTCTAGTTATTCTCACAATGACTCCATAAGGTAAGGGTTTTTTTTTTTGTCAACTTTATTGAGGCTTAATTTACATACAGTAAAATTCACCAATTTTGGCTGTATAATTTGATGAGTTTTGATGAACTTATATAGACTTGAAAGCATAACTACAAACTTCATGACATAGAACATCCCCATTACTCCAGGAAGTTCCCACCTGCCTCTTCCCAGACAATCCTCCACTCTTGTCCTTGGGCTATTAGGTTTTGCTCTTACTAGAATTTCATTTAAAAGGAATTATATGTAACCTTTTGTTTGGCTTCTTTCACTTAGTGCAATGCTTTTGAAATTTATTCATGTTATCATTGATTTGTTCCTTTCCTTGCTAATCAGTAAATGCACATCTGGATAGTTTGGTGCTATTATGATTAAGGAGGCTAGGAAAATACAGGTATAAGTGTGTGGGCATAGGTTTTTACTTCTCTAGCAGCAGAATCTGGTTCATTAAAAGGGTATTAACAGGGCTGGGGTTGTGGCTCTGATAATAGAGCGCTTGCCTAGCATGTGTGAGGCACTGGGTTCATCCTCAGCACTGCATATAAATGACTAAAATTAAGGTCTATCAACAACTAAAAAAAAAAATTTAAAGAAGGTATTATCATTCCCTTTATAGAAGACAGATTGAAGACCAAAGAGATTAAGCAGCTTGCCTGGGGTCATATACACAGCTTGTCAGAAATTCAAAGCCATCTCTAAACTCTACACTAGGTCACCCATAGAAAATTGGTATTTTGGGCTGGGGATGTGTCTCAAGTGGTAGCGCGCTCGCCTGGCAAGCGTGCTGCCCGGGTTTGATCCTCAGCACCACATACAAACAAAGATGTTGTGTCTGCCAAAAACTAAAAAAAAAATATTAAAAATTCTCTCTCTCTCTTTAAAAAAAATTGGTATTTTTTTTATCAAAGGTACTTCGTTGGTAAATAATCACTATATATGGGTTGAATTCAGATTTGTAGCTTGCATACATAGACTGAGTGCAAGTTGCTAAGCAAAGTATGCACACAGGTCACTCTTTGAGGGCATTTTAGCAGGTAACTTCTGAAAGCTTAAACTGTAGGTCTGTAGTCGGTTACTTTTAAAGGTGGTATTTGCCAGGTTTCTCCACTGTAGTTACCATTTTTCCTTTGCAGTAACTAATCAGAGAGGAAAGACTTTGAGTGTATGGATCCTGTTTCTCATCAAGCTTTCACTTACTGGTTGGAATATTCATTGTGAATTTCCTAATTCCACCATTTCATATACATTTGCTAGTTGCATTCTTCTGTTAAGAAAAGTGTCTCTGTTTTTTGTTGCTGCAACAAAGTCCAGAGACTGGATAATTTATAAAGAATAGAAACTTATTTGGTTCTTGGTTCTGGAGACTGGAAATCCTGAGAGTATGGTGTCAGCATCTGCGTGGCTTCTGGTGAAGGTTTTTTTGCTGCATCACAACATGCCAAAGTGTGTTATGTGACAAGAAAGAGCAAGTGTGCTAGCTTAGGTCTCTCTCTCTCTCTCTCTCTTTCTTTCTCTCTCTCTCTCTCTTTATACTGGGTATTGAGTCCAGGGGCACTTTGCCACTGAGCTACATCCCCAGCTCTTTTTATTTTTTATTTTAAGATAGGTCTAAGTTGTCCAAGCTGGCCTTGAACTTGATCCTCCTGCCTCAGCCTCCTGTATAGCCTATATTACAGGCATGTGCCACTGTGCCCAGCTTCACTCATGTTTATATGGGTATGTCCTCATACATTATTTTATTCCTTGGAATATAGTCCATTACTATCATTGTTTAATGTTTGATGTGTCCCAGATGTGGTCTGAAGTAGTCCGATTGAGCTGGTTCCTGTGTCTTTCTAATATACCTTGATTCTTTGAGCATTTTCTTTCTCTCAGGTATAAGAGATTCAAAGCTCTTGACCTTATCTTGTGTCAGCCTTGGCCCCTTTTAGTGGAAAATCACATTCAGAAACCAAGATTGGGGTGCTAACAAACTTGTTGGTACTAGGGTATTCAGCTTCCTGGCTGCAGGTTTTTTTTCTTTCTCTACTAGATATTGAACCTAGGGTGCTCTACCCCTGAGCTACATTCCCAGACCTTTTACTTGTTGAGACACAATCTTGCTAAGTTGCTGAAGCTGATCTTGAACTTGCAATCCTCTTGCTTTAGCCCCCGAATCATGGAATTATAGGTGTGCATCACTGTGCCCAGCTGGGCTGCAGGGTTTTGTTTGTTTGTTTGCTTTATTTTGTTTTTGGTACTGGGATTGAACCCAGGGATGCTTTACCACTAAGTCCCTAGCCCTTTTTTATTTTTTTATATTGAGACAGCGTAAGTTGCTTAGGACCTTGCTAAATTGCTGAGGCTGGACTTGAACTTACAATCCTCCTGCTTTGGCCTCCTGCCTCAGCCTCCAGAGTTGCTAGGATTACAAGAGGTTAACAATGTGATGTTTTCAAAGCTTATTCTTTTACTAGTGCCGGGCTAGCTGCAGGTTTTGAAGGCAGCAGGTGAGGGAAAGAGCAGACCTATGAGATTGGATTTATAAGCTATGGACTCAACAAAACCAGGCTGATAGTGGGGAATCTGTAATGATTCAGTTCAGTTGTAATTAGTTCAGTCGCGGTGTCACGGGTTGGGGGACCTGGAATCAGTCCAACTAGGCATTGCAGTTTCTCTGCTCCAAAATATCTGTGAATTTCACCAATTTACAAACTTCCTGGGTATAACATTTTTCAGCTTTTTGCCTTGACATGAGTTTCTTCCATGGCAAAATTTGAGTAGCTGGTTCTCAAGGTGGGGTGGGGGGTAATACCCCCATAAGGAGAGGTGTGGAGAGAAGAGTGGTCTTGGGGTCTCCCACAGGGATGGAAAACTGCAGACTTCTGGCACAGACCTGAAGGCTAATCAGTCAACTAGTGAGAGAGCCAATGATTGGAACTAACTGCTCCAGGAATTAAAAGTGGTGACTCATCATGTAGAGCCACAGTCTCAAAGTCTGGTCACATCTGGTATGTTCTATCCTGAAGAGTCTGCTGGCTCTGGAGTCTCCTGGGGTGGAGGTGCAGCATGGCCTCCCCTCTATAGCAGGTGGGGGACAATGACATCTGTCACCAGGGGCTTTCACATTCCTTACCCACCATGATCCTGAGGACAGGAGGTCTTTTTCTGTCTTCTGGAGGCTCAGTGAGCAAGGCCAGGAAGGAAAGCCACAAGTCCCTGTGATTGCAGCACGATGCACAGTCCAGCCTGGCTGGAGCTGCCTGGGCTGGAGACAGCAGAGCAGACAGTGGGTGTGCGAGGCCCAGGGAGCCCTCATCTCATGTATAAGAGGGGTCTGAGCAGCCCTGCAGTCTGGAGGAAATAGGGAGCTGGTTGCACTGCTGCCTCTCAGGACATGCTGTCCTGCTCGGCTTCAGCCAGCCAGACTGGCCAATGACGAGAAAGGAAAGCCAACCCTTGTGACTTGACTCGCAAGCTCTCTTTCTAGAAGGAGCTACCTCATGCTGGGTTGAGGGATACGATGCACCAGAAGGAAGAGGATGACTAAATCTACCCTTTCTGCTGTGTGAACCCCCATAATGGTGGACCAAGAGGGCTTAGGGTCCTAAAAAAAAAACAAATCCAGGGAGGGGCCTGGGAGGGTTTGGGTGAAGGAGGCCAGAGGTTTCAAGAATGGTAAGGCTGACCTTGGAGACTAGCCTATGTGGTGGGAGGGACAGCTGGAGTGGCGAGCCAGGGAGGGGCACCTGGGCCTTAGGCAATCAGGGGGAGGACCTGCCAGATGGGGCTCTTAGGTCCCCAAGGTTCGTCTGGCTGCTCCAGTGGTGTCCCTGGGGCCTGGTGACAGGCATCTGACCTTTCTCTGCCACTTTTTCCTCATATGCAACATGAGAATAATAATTCTGCTGACCTACTTCTCAGGATATTTGTGAAAAACAACTAATAAAACATGGCAAATTAAAGAGGGTGGGGTAAAAATAAAGAAAAGGAAAAGAGGAACAGGAAGAGAGCAAAAAGCTTTGCTGCCAGGACCATCAAGCTACAAGTGAGGAGCAGACCCTTAGTCCCTTAGGACGATGGGGCAGAGGTAGAGAACACTAGGAAGCCCCAGGCAAGGAGCCAACTTCTAAAAACTCAGTTATTGAGGTTAACAATATGATGTTTTCAAAGCTTATTCTTTTACTAAAGGCTCAGAATGCACTAACTCAGAGAACTCCTTTGATTTAAGGAACTTTGAGTCCTTTCCCCAGTGGGTCCCCCAACAGCATAATATTTTTTTGCATTGTATCGTGAAAGTGAGCAAAATTAGGTAATACTGTAAGAACCAAGGGAATGTGCAAGAAACATGTTCCCAGGCAAGCATGTAAGTTTCACTTCTCAAATTTAAGTCAGCATCTGTA